TTCTCTGATTCCAGTTGATTAAAATTATTTCAACAAAGGTTTATCAGACATAACAAAACCAAGCAGAAGCCTTCTGTTTTCTCTTCAGCAGGAAAATAATGTTAATTAGTAAAGGCATTTTCAAGCATTATTAAGCATTTGCTAATAATTTTTAGCTCCTATCAGCCTTTGCTTTCTCTTCCCCACTCCCCGTGATATTTTAGCTCTGAACTATTCTTGCATGAGAACCTGAGAAATGCAGCCTTCAGATTAAAGGAAGGAATAAGTTGCAATCCCAACCCACATGCGCCTGAAGGGCTCTTCGGGGTGGCAGAGCAACTGCACATCCTCACAGTGGCTGAAACAGAACCTGGGGAAGCAGGATAACTGGGTCCTCTCTCTGAACTAGCACCCAGGTGGCAGAGCAGTTGAGTACAGGTCATGCCCAAAGTTGCCAAGCTACACCAGTGAGTCTGGCTCAGAATCCAAGGGATCGCAGACCAGATTCACCTCACAGGATTGGCAATGGATTCACCCATGTTCAGTACTGAAACCATCCTAGTCTTTAAGACTAGCATTGCAGTTTGCAGCCACAATGAGACTAAGGAAATTGGGGATGCTTCTGAAATTCTCCGCATCAGATTTTTGGAGTGTCTGCCCTTCTGCCAGGATCTGCTGGGTAGGTGTACAGCTCACCCAGTGGCGAACCTTTGAGGTTCAGGCGGCATCCTGGACGAAGACCTGAGGGCCACATGGAGAAGCTTGGTGGGCTGCATTTGACCCTCAGGGGACTGAGGTTCCCTACTATTGGTATACAGCACAATACTCTTAATCTCAAGGTCACGGGTTCAAGCCCCACATTGGGCAAAAAGTTTCCTGCATTGCAGGGGGTTGGACTAGAACGCCCTTGTGGTCCCTTCCAACTCTATGTTTCTATGAAAACTGTGGGATGTGAAACACAAGAGCAGTCAAGTACATCTCTAGAGTGGACATAAAAGGGGATGTCTGGACCAGCCAGTCAGAGCTTCCTGTTTCTCCTAAGATGGGACAGACTTCCTCTGCATGTGACTAGAGGTGGGCGTGGCCTCACCTGTGCAGGTAACAAAAGCATAGGACTGGCCACCATCTCTTTTTCTCTGACTACATTCGTCAAAGAAGCAACATCTGCTTAGCCTAAGATGCTCTCTTGGCTTCCAGTCAAGAGAGGACAAAGGAGCTGTCTCCTTATGGGATAGTTTCCAGGTACAGTATATTACTTTTCTAAGCTAAGTCTGCCTTCTGGGATCCAATTGTGAACAGAATGTGTGAGTAAACTCTTTTTAAACTTTTATAGAAGACTGTGTTGTGTCTTATCTTTTTATGAGGGACTGAATGGGGAATTACCAAAAGGAAACTTATTATAGAGGCTTTAGCGAGCCTGAGCAAACGCATCCACTGTACAAGTTTAAAAAGGGGAATGTTACTCTGCTAAATTGTGGAACTTGTTAACACAAGTTGGAAAGGATATAATCAAACAATATATCTTCTCCTGCTTCCCTGAACATTCCCACAAAAACTACATCTATGAAGCTCCCTCTTCCAATCCACCTTTGTGGGCCAACTTAAATTAGGCTGAATGCTATAGGTCCTCCTCCCTAACTATAGTCAACCAATACCTAACTTAGGGCTCCTGATTCCAGATTGATGTTAGGGGTCATCACTATCAGGCATCTGCCAAAGTCCATACCACATTGGTGATAATCTCAAAAGCCCTCTAGTCCCTTCTCTCTCTCTTTCTCTTTTCTTGGAAGACCTAGGAGAACCAGCACTCTGGGAAGTAGAACTGATTGGGCTGAGAAAGACTATCAAGCTGATGAGCAGCACCAACAGTGTCAAGGGGGAGTAGAACCCCGCCATAGCATGCATCCTGCCCCTGTCCCTCCCCCAAAAACCTGGGGGGTTCATACCCACCTGCTGCCCAGCCCTAAGTACCAAAACATAGTAAAGGTAAAGGTAAAGGTACCCCTGCCCGTACAGGCCAGTCTTGACAGACTCTGGGGTTGTGCGCCCATCTCACTCAAGAGGCCGGGGGCCAGCGCTGTCCGGAGACACTTCCGAGTCACGTGGCCAGCGTGATGAAGCTGCTCTGGTGAGCCTGCACCAACACAGCACACGGAAATGCCGTTTACCTTCCCGCTATAAAGCGGTACCTATTTATCTACTTACACTTAAGGGTGCTTTTGAACTGCTAGGTTGGCAGGCGCTGGGACCGAGCAACGGGAGTGCACCCCACCGCGGGGATTCGAACCGCCGTCCTTCCGATCAGCAAGCCCTAGGCGCTGAGGCTTTTACCCACAGCGCCACCCGCGTCCCCTACAGCGCCACCCGCGCCGCCTACCAAAACATAACCTATCGTTTAATGCAGGCATAGGCAAACTCCGGGCCCCCCAGATGTTTGGGACTACAATTCCCATCACCCCTGACCACTGGTCCTGTTAGCTAGGGATGATGGGAATTGTAGTCCCAAACATCTGGAGGGCTGGAGTTTGCCTATGCCTGGTTTAATGTGTCGCAGACTACTTCTTTAAAAGTGCTGACCACTGATACATCATCCTGCTACCTTCAAGGAGACATTTAGCAGCAGGCTCTGAGAAAAAAAGTCACAGCAAGCAATCTTGAATATGCTAAGCCCGGTCTACGCCAGGGAGTTGGATGAAAGCTGACAGGCGCCAAATTTAGCTGCTCCGGCTCTCTGGCAGCAATTTGAGAGTCAGATGCATCCAGCCACATTCTCCAGAGGCATTTGCCCCAACTGTTTCTATGATGCTGCTGGACCCCAGAACCAGTCCCTCTGGAACAGCCCTCTGCTCAACGTCTACGTTTCAGCACAATTGCATCTTCCAGGGCTCCAGGGCTTGGCTTTTGCTCACTAATTATGTATCAGCCTTTGGCTGCTGTGCCAGGCATCTACAGTCATGCACACCTCAAGGTAGCTGCCCAACTGGAAGTAATTCTCTGGGTGCAAGTAGGACCGGGGGGAGAACTGCAGAGTTGCACACACATCTGCACGCAAAGCACCCCGTTCATTTCAGCTGTAGGGAATGCAGCCCCCCCCCCACCTCCACATTAGGAAAGGAGCTGTCAGAAAAGTGCTACATGAGGTTCTCAGGATTCTTAGAGCCCCAGGTTGTCTCTCCCTGTCAGAGACCGCTGGTGGGAAATTTACCACTTGAGTTTAGATACCCTTCTTTTTCATAGTGTAACACCGCCTGCCAAAAGACCGCACAGTTTTCTGTAGTATATTGGTTCCTTCCCTATAACCTTGCACTTCTTTCTCTGTCTCGGTCTCTCCCTATCCTGGCTCACCACTGTGCTTACCAAACCAGACATGGTTCCATATCCTTCCTTGCTCCTTCCTCCTTCATTGGAATCCTTCTCTTCTATGACGTATTTTTTCTGTTTTCCTTTCCTTTCTTCTCATTCTGTCTTCATACTGCAAAGCCTCTACAGATTCATTCCCAATCTCTGTTCCTAGAGCCTTGGGACCTTTCCTCACTGCTGCTGCTGCATCCTGATGTTTATGCAGATGCTGGGAGCATCTGGGGAATCCTCTCACTTCACTGTCATCACATCACTTCCAGCCAGCCTGCTTCTTCATTGGGTTGGGCCAGAGGAGAAACAATGTGGATGGCAGCGGTAGCCTTTTCATTTTCCCATCAGCTGCTATCAGGAGGTTCCTTGGGTAGAAACTGGAGTGGCTTTTTTAAGAAAAGTTAACCCAAAGTTTTTTTCCAGCTCATCAGAAACAAGGCACCAAAATTCTCTAATCTTTCTACATGTCCACCACATATGATACATGTCTCCATTAATTTCCCCACACTTACAACAGTTGTTTGCTATGTTTTTGTACATCTTTGATGGGAGAGAGCTTTGATGGGGTTAGATACCACCTATATTGCATCTTTAACATGTTTTCTTTAATGTTATAACATGCCGTAAACTTCATAGTTGTTTTCCAGAGGGTTTTTCCACTCATTCAGCATTATAGGGCGTCCAATATCTTGAGCCCATCTAATCATAACTGCCTTAACCTCCTCCCCCTTGACTTCCCAGTCAAGGAAGAGTTGGTACATCTTTGATATTATCTTCATATTATTATTCACTATTTCCTTCTCAAATTTATAGGGTTCAATAGCAAATCCACTCTTCTTATACTGTTTATATGTCTCATAGAGTTGATGATATTCCAGCCAGCCCGATGATATTTCAGCCAGCTGTTGTGCGGCTGCCATCGTATGGAAAGCTAGGAGGGAACATATCCTGGGCAACAGTTCCTGAGATCCTGAAAGACTCCGCTGACACAGACTAGTCACTGAACTCCTCTTGACCCCGAATAACTATAATAGTTCTTTGCTAATAGCTGAGACATTACCTGGACAACAACAGCATTTACTGACTTTTGATTTGTGGGTTGTAAGGTCAGCTGATGATTCCTGCTCTCACCTCTTGTTCAGTGACTGCCCCCTGACCCATTTCTGGCAGTATCATGTGAACCAATCTATATTTCCCATTTTAGGTGCATGGAGCCTCTGTCTGGCACATCCTTGTTATGTTTGGTCCCTAATTATCATTCCAAGGAGCTTGGGGAAGCACACAGAGCTGTTCTGTTCTACCCTCACAACATTCCTTGCAAGGTAGAGATAGTGACTTGCCCAAGTGAGTTTTATAGGTGATCAGGAAATGGGATCTTGGCTTTCTCAGTTGAAACCCACGACTACTCTGATGTCTCACAGTCTGTTTCTAGACAGATTTATTTGGAACTGATCCGCCCTGACTCCAGTCCCATTTACTCCCTAGCTGCATGCTGTGCTTGCGATTGACACCATAAAGCAATTGGAACAGTCAACGGTCAAGCAGGCTCAAATAATGAGTTAACACCGAAAGGCCTAGTCCAAGCAAGGCTAAATCATGAAGCTGAGAGCTCTTATCTCTTCAAGCCCTACTTGATCTACAGTCCACAAAGCCAATAATGTGTCACTCACCCTCATGCCAAGTTCAATGTTTTCTCCCCCATAAACTTCCATTCCAGGGTCAAGAAGGCCGATCTCACCAAAGTACTCTCTGTCCACCACAAACGAACAACCAATCATGGCTGGTGTCCTGTTGATGAGGGGAAACAAGACAAACGAAGGACAAAGGGTTCAAACAAGGCACCTCTGGAAGAGCAGCAGCAGCAGCAACAACAACAACAATTTATGCAATTTATATACGGCCCTTTATCAAAAGATCCCAGAGCGATGTACAACATTAAAAACACATTACAGAACATCAATGATAAAACAATATACTTCTTACTATGTTTTTACCTCCCCCCGACACTTTCACAGGCTGTTGATTAATAGCCATAGGCCTGGGTAAAGAGGAAAGTTTTTGCCTGGCTTCTAAAGACATGTAATGATGGTGCCAGACAAGCTTTTTTGGGGAGAGCATTCCACAATCGGGGAGCCACCACAGAAAAGGCCCGTTCTAAGAAAGGAGGGGCATATTCACACAAACCCAAGTCACACCATATTATGTCAAAATGAACTTCATATCCATGCATCATATAATTTACATAATTTACATATAAACACACACGGAGCACTGCAACATGGCTCCCTCTCTCTCTAGCATCAGACAGCAAAGAGAAAGAACAAAGGACAATAGTCCCACTTCACGGAACACAGTAACACAAACATCCTGTCTCCGTCACTTCCCACTTTGTGGAGTCAAAACACACACCGTCATGTGAAAGACAACAATCCCATGACTGCAATCATGAAGCAGGAATTCTAACAGCATCCACCCACCCAGTCAATGTGAGTCAGCAAAAACCTAAGTCTAGATCTGAAAGCTACGGCTCAGGAGTAGATAATCTGCTTTGTAAGCAGGAGGTCTCATGTTCAATCCAGGGCTGGGAAAGACAACCTGCCTAGAGAGCCACTGTCAGCCAGTTTAGATAATGGCACTGAGCTAGATGGCAGCTTCCTATATTCCATTGCAATGTGAAAACAGTGCAGTCCTTCCCATGTCTATTCAGAAGGAAGTTAAATTGACTTGCTACAATGGAAGTGAGTTTAGGACAGGGGTCAGCAAACTTTTTCAGCAGGGGGCTGGTCCACTGTTCCTCAGACCTTGTGGGGGCCGGACTGTATTTTGGGGGAAAAAATGAATGAATTCCTATGTCCCACAAATAACCCAGAGATGCATTTTAAACAAAAGCACCCATTCTACTCATGTAAAAACACCAGGCAGGCCCCACAAATAACTCAGAGATGCATTTTAAATAAAAGGGCATATTCTACTCATGTAAAAGCACACTGATTCCTGGACTGTCCGCGGGCTGGATTTAGAAGGTGATTGGGCTGGATCTGGCCCCTGGGCCTTAGTTTGCCTACCCGTGGTTTAGAATAGAAGGTCCTGGCAGCTCCTTCAGAGGTTACAGCCTCTCCATCCAAATACAAGCCACTGTGATACAGTTGGGGAGAGAGCATTGTTGAGAAGAAGAGAAGAAGAAGAAGAAGAAGAAGAAGAAGAAGAAGAAGAAGAAGAAGAGGAGGAGGAGGAGGAGGAGGAGGAGTTTGGATTTGATATCCCACTTTATCACTACCCAAAGGAGTCTCAAAGCGGCTAACATTCTCCTTTCCCTTCCTCCCCCACAACAAACACTCTGTGAGGTGAGTGAGGCTGAGAGACTTCAGAGAAGTGTGACTAGCCCAAGGTCACCCAGCAGCTGCATGTGGAGGAGCGGGGATGTGAACCTGGTTCACCAGATTACGAGTCCACTGCTCTTAACCACTACACCACGCTGGCTCTCTAAGAGGACATCTTTTGCATATAGAAGGTCCTAGGTGCAATCTTTAGCATCCTTAGCTTTTTTGAAAAAGAACAGAGAGATAGCTGAGACCCTGACTGTGATTTGGTTTGTGTATTGTTTTGGAAAGCACAAGTTACATAGGTAGATCAGCCCTCAAACTCAAACGGAATTCAATTTCTTCTCTATCCCTACTCTGAAGAGAGAGGCTCCAAAAGAGAACTACGAAAATGCCAACACAGCCCTTGTAAACAGCCAGCCTTGGTCCAAAAACAATGAGAGCATAAGAGCCCCATTACCCCTTTATTCAAGCAATGATTCAATTCATTCCTTTATTAGATGTCGGTTGTAAAACTTCCCCTAATGGAACTTTATTACCGCCTTAAAAAATAAAAAGAAGGAAAGAAAGAAAGAAAAGAACAGCAGCTTTCTTACCAGGGAAGTAATATTTTACCAACATGCAGCAAACATTCTAATCAATTTGCCTTGTGTTTAATAATAATAAAAAATGCACGGAGGACTGATAAATTGAATCAGAGATCCTCCTGCCAAGTCTATTGTGGCTTGTAATGACAATAAAAATAATAATGATCAAGCAAAGTTCTGAAATAAACTTCAATGCATACAAAAGGAAGCTGCAATCGGGCTCATCTTGCGTGTTTATATCTGACGCCTGGTGTTGCTCCTGCTTGAAAATGGAGCACCAAAGAAAACCAGCAATACTCAGAGGAATTCAATGGGACTTACTCACAGGTAAGTATTTACAGCATTGCTGCCCAAGGCTGGAAGGCAGGGATAGAAACCTGTGGCCTCCAGATGTGGTAGAGTACCCCTCTTTTCACCCCTTCATAGATCACTGCCTTGCCGTGGCGAAGGGGCTTGAATAACTCAGAGAAGCTATGAACTATGCCGTGCAGGGTACCCAAGATGGACAGGTCATAGTGGAGAGTTTTGACCAAACGTGATCCACCTGGAGCAGGAACCAGCAAGCCACTCCAGTATCCCTGCCAAGAAAACTCCATGGCTGGAGGAGACTCTTGTGAGTCCCATGGACTGCAAGAAGATCAAACCTATCCATTCTGAAGGAAATCAGCCCTGAGTGCTCACTGGAAGGACAGATCCTGAAGCTGAGGCTCCAATACTTTGGCTACCTCATGAGAAGAGAAGACTCCCTGGAAAAATCCCTGATGTTGGGAAAGATGGAGGGCACAAGGAGAAGGGGACGGCAGAGGATGAGATAGTTGGACAGTATTCTCGAAGCTACCAGCATGAGTTTGACCAAACTGCAGGAGGCAGTGGAAGACAGGAGTGTCTGGCGTGCTCTGGTCCATGGGGTCACGAAGAGTCGGACATGACTAAATGACTAAACAACAACAACATCCCTCTTTTCAACCCTGACAACCGGCCATGCTGGCAAGGATTTTGCGTCTCATCATTACCCCTGCTCCAAGCCAAGCCTAAATCATTTTAGCTAAATCATTTTGTGAGTCATGGTTATCCTGTTCATCTGATTCAGTGGGACTTAAACACAGCATTCACTGGGCTGTGGCCTGTCATTCTGCAAGCTGGGGTTCTTGTTGCTGCTGCAGCAGTTGTGGATGATAACCTTCATTTGCAAAATGCCTTTCCTGGCAAGGTGTGTCTGCCTGCCTCATTATTGACTATTGACCATTATTGACATAAAGAAGAAGAAGTTGTTGTCGTTCCTAGTCTTTGGCCAAGCAGGAATTGTGAGCTTCTGCTTTCCCCTCCTTGGTGGTGGGGTATCCCATGAAAGGGATCCACAGGGAAGTGCTTCTCTCCATAGATCCACATGGGGGCTGAGGGCCACTGGCTCCGGCGGGGGGGGGGGCAGAGAGAAGGGGAGGGCATGGCTGGCACACATCCAGGGGGCGAGGTGCACCACCTGTGGGGGTGTGATGCCCAGCACGGGGGGTGTGTGTGGCAGCCGCAATGGCACCCCACCAAGATTGTGCCACCGGGGGCGGTGTGCTCCCCCCCACACCTCTGTTCCTCTACCAGTGGTGAGGGCCATAGCACTCCCTAATTTGGCTACCCAATGCCAAGTCAAACTCACCGTGGCATTGTTGTTGTGGCCTATTTTTAACCCCCCAAAACATTGGATTTACCAATATGTCCTGATGGAGGTGGATTCGTGGTGCCTGGACATACAAGTAAGAGTCACAGCTCAGTGGTGCAGCACCCGCTTTGCATTCACAAGGTCCCATGTTCAATCTGGATCAAATTGCTTCCCCATCCCAAGAGGTGAAGGAAAACATGTCTGAGTCGGCATTGTTAAGGGTGAGGGGGAAGTCAGAAGTGTCTACCTGCACAGCCATAATCAATCAAACAGAATCTATTTTGTTTATAATCACTCTTTCTCACCCAGCTGGTAGTGAGAGGAAGACAGATACAGGCAGCGAGAGAATGAAAGAGAGAGGGGGAAAGGTGATTAATGTTGGCCAAACTGCTTTTGGATAATCTGATGGGCTGGCCGATGGGTGCAGAGCATGATCAAGAAGTGTATCAGCAAGGGGACTTCTGACGCTGGAACAATGAAATGGCTTTTGGTTTTGGCAGGGCTGGAGCTTTCCAAGTGCTACACTGCAAATGAATATTGTTGTACTGGGGCGGGGGAGAGATTGTGCAGTCAATCTGTGTAAATTACTTTAAGATGTTCTTCAGCGAGCACAGCTTGAGATCCTCTGGAGCAGTGGGAATGCTGCTGTCCAAGGTGGCAAAGCCATTTCCGAGCCTCGGGAGGAGAGGGTGTTGCGGGCTGGCCCCTCCCACAAGCGCGGGGCTGGAACTTAGCCCCCGCGAGAGCAAGGGAATCCCCGGGGGCGTGCCTCTCCGCCCTCCCCCTGTCCGCCAATCGGCGGGCGAGGGAGGTGTGGCCTGCGCTATTTAAGGCCAGGCACGCCCCGGGATCGCCCTCTTCACTTCCCGGCAGCAGAGCGGTGACACCCGTGGGGGTCCTAGCTGGCGTACTCCAACGGGACACCCACGGTTCGTGTTCAACCCTTCCCGGTTACCATGCCGGGTAGTGATAGGAGCCAATGCCTAAGGCCAATACCTTCAATTCTGTAATCAATAAAGTTGTGGCCATTTACGCCCATTAACCTTAAATAATGTGTCTGGTGTCTTTATTTCATTTGGGGGAGGGAACTTGCCACGCAAAGACAAAAGTGGTGAGCTAGGGTTGCCCTTGTGCTATTGGTGACTTTGCATCTTCCCACAGTGGCAGGATACCCTACAACATTTCTCCAATGAAAATAGGAACACCCTAAGGAAAAGTGGGACATTCTGGGATCAAGTCAGAAACCAAGACAGTTTCTATAAATCCAGGACTGTCCCTGGGAAATAGGGACACTTGGAGGGTCTGGCAATGCCCTCAATGGGATAATATACTTGGTCTTTATTAGTTCTTGAGTGTGAAGAAACCAGCACACCTTGCTCTTGACAGACAGGGCGTGGGAATAGATGGATCATAGGTGTGATCTATTCTGACAGATCTTGTCTCCCTTAATGCCTTAATCTAATCTGACAATCCGGGAGGAGGGGGGAAATTGGCCTGCCATCTGTCTCTTTTGCTGCTCAAACACCGGTATGATTTTATTTCCCAGATGTCTTTACAGAGGAGGAGGAGGGGAGAGAAGTAACTTCTGATTAGAATCAAAGTGACACAAATCCACACCCGCACCACTGAAGTCAAAAGGATGTCAAGAGAGTCGGCGAGACGTCAACAAAGACTTAATATGCACCCAAAAAACAACAACTGAGTTTTCTCAGGCCATTGAAGCAGGGAGAGCTTGCGAGAGGTTGGGCAGAAAGACGCCGTGTTTCACTGCAAACTCATTTCGATAAATTAGAGAATGTCAAAACACACTTTGCGGAGATGGCGGAATACTTGCGCGTGGCACCTTGATGGAGCATCACCTGCCTCGTTCTATGGTACATTAAGCAATCGGTGAGAAACGTATGGGTTGTTTTAACAGGCCACTACTGCTGGGATAAGGAGATAAAAATTCAAGGCAGAGGCGAGCCTGACTGGAGACAGGTGACTAATGGCTCCAGGAGGTGCTGATAATGGAATGCAACAGAGCAGTCCATCAATAGGCAGAGCAGGTGAGTGGGGAGGGAAGCAGCCCGATGGACAATTAGGCCTCCCTGTCTAGCCTCTGAGGCTGCTTTGGGTAAACCATTTATGGTGTATGATATCAGGTGTGGGGCAGCTAAATATGCAGCTAGGGTGAAAGGTGGGCTGTGGAGCCGGCAAAGTCCCAGCACTTGGGAACTGCCGACTAGCAGCTGATTGTTGAGCCTTGCAATTCCATGGCCTTGAATCAACCGATCATCAGGATTTGCAAAACATGGTGCAGACTATCAATGACTACTAGCTATGGTGGTCATGTTCTATCTCTCCTATCGAAGGCAGTATGCCCCTGAATCACAGGTGGGGAGAGTTGCTGTTGCAGTCAGGTTGGCCACAGGCATTTGGTTGGCCACTATGAGACCAGGACTCTGGCCTAGATGGGCTGTTGGCTTGATTCAGCAGGCTTCTTTTGTGTTCTTCAAGTCTTATGCCACTGAGTGCCAAAGTCTGCCATCTCTGCGTGGCAGGGAGTGTGAACAAGGAATCCAGCACATCATGAGGGTCTGCCTGCTTAGCTTCACTCCCAGATCCTATGGCTTTGTGAACTTCTGGCTTGACGTTTCACAGTGAGGAATGAAAAGGGGATGGGTTTTTTTGGGGGGGGAGTTACTACTTGGAGGCAAAAGTAGTGACAGCGCCTTCTCGGCAGTGGTACCCTCCCATCAGATGTCAAGGAGATAAAGAACTACACAACTTTTAGAAGATATATGAAGGCAGCCCTGTATCAGGAAGTTTTTAATGTTTGGTGGTTTATTATGTTTTTATATTTTGCTGGAAGCAGCCCTGAGAATCCAGTCAGATGGGTGGGGTATAAATAATAAAATGATTGTTTTTATTACCTCATTTGACTTCTTTTTAAAAAAGTTTTTGCTGTTCCACAGGTGGCACAGTGGAGTCACAGCTCCCTGCCTCTGCCCACCCTGTGCTTTTCAGCATGTTGCTACCGCATGATGTAAGCATGTTCCAAGGGCCATGCAATCACAGAATGGGAAGGTCTTAATGCTGGTGGTGGCCAAACCAAAAGAGGTGGTAGAGGAAAAACACCACTAAACGGCATATATCCCTTGAAAATGTTGCTGACTTTCACTATCCACACACGCACACAAATCACTGAAATGCCTCCCCGTCGCTACTTCAATTCACAGTTTGTGAATATGGGGATTTCATCTCAGCCCAACTTCGCAAACTTTATCAATCATCAGCACCATCTGCCAATGTGCATGGTGATGTACAGAACAAATGCAACCCTCCATCCCAAGAAGCCTGCAATGTAAAAGAGAAGGCAATGAAGGGAGGAGTGTGGATAATGGTAGGTAAGGTAAAGGTACCCCTGCCCGTACGGGCCAGTCTTGACAGACTCTAGGGTTGTGCGCTCATCTCACTCTATAGGCCGGGAGCCAGCACTGTCCGCAGACACTTCCGGGTCATGTGGCCAGCATGACGAAGCTACTCTGGCGAGCCAGAGCTGCACACGGAAACGCCGTTTACCTTCCCGCTAGTAAGCGGTCCCTATTTATCTACTTGCACCCAGGGGTGCTTTCGAACTGCTAGGTTGGCAGGCGCTGGGACCAAGCAACGGGAGCGCACCCTGCCGCGGGGATTCGAACTGCTGACCATGTGATTGGCAAGTCCTAGGCGCTGAGGTTTTACCCACAGCGCCACCCACGTCCCAATGGATAATGGAGGTACAGGTAAAATGGAAAATAGTACGTGGTCTGTGGCAACACAGAATCTCATTCAGGGGCCATTCAGAAGAGAAGTGTGTGTGTGTGTGTGTGTGTGTGTGTGTGTGAGAGAGAGAGAGAGAGAGAGAGAGAGAGAGAGAGAGAGAGAGAAACCAAAGATTAAGTTGGTGTAGTCTCCGCTTCCCTGGCCACTGGAATCAATAGCAAAACATTCCCAGTGCATAGATGTATCTCCACAGTGACAATGAAATAGTGGCTGCTCTTTGAAAGGGGAAGGAGAAAAGCTGGCCAGGTTTATCAAGGGACATTCAGATTTCCTGAGCAATTACCTGCCTGCATATTGAGGCTTCACAAAGAGCAGGAGGTCCCCGATAACAGACGTGCACCGCTTGAAGATAAATAAAATGAATGCTGTCGCGTCCCTCTGTTTCGCAGCGATAAGAGGAAAAGTAAGGCTAAAGCCCAATTTACATCATTTATGAACCTTTGCTCAGGCGTAGGGCTGCCTCTAATGGGGAAAGGAGGAGGGAACCATATGTGTGAGAACACACACACACACACGGACGAAGGGAGGGTGGTATGAAATGTCTGCAGCTCCTGAATTTGCAAACTATGAATCAGGTGAAGGGCCTTTGGAAGAGAAAAACTCAGGCGTAGGGCTGCCTCTAATGGGGAAAGGAGGAGGGAACCATATGTGTGAGAACACACACACACACACGGACGGAGGGAGGGTGGTATGAAATGTCTGCAGCTCCTGAATTTGCAAACTATGAATCAGGTGAAGGGCCTTTGGAAGAGAAAAACAGCTGTCCGGAGGGGAGGAGCTTCACCCATTTCCACAGCCACTGCTTGGATCTGGATCTCCTCCCCCAGGCTGCTTTACCCCTTGAGATGAACATATATATATGCATAGCTGCATTTTGGACCACATATTGTTTCAGGGCGTACAAATTAGGTAGATGCACACTAAAAAGCAAAAAAACTGTATGGATTTTGTCTCCAGTCCTATTGACTTCCCAGCCAAGATGTGAGTGGGACAGAGTGGCCAGGAGAAAGGTCCCAGAAGATAGGTTGCTTTTTGTGGGGTATGTGAGGAAGATGCCATCAGTGGGGCTCCCTTTTGTGTGAGCCCACATACTCATCATTGGTGCTTATTTCCTTCCTCCCTCTGTCCCTAAGCCACACAGCTGCTCAAAAGAAGGCAGGACAGGTGGAGGAAGCAGCTCCAGTTCCTGAGTCTTCTCACTGCATGGAGAGGGCAAGTGATCAGGCGGTAGGAGTAGCGAATATGAGGGGGAAGGGCCATAGCTCAGTGGTAGATCATCTGTCTTCCGTGCAGACGGTCCCTGGCACCTCCAGGTGGGACTGTGAATGTCCATGATCTGATACCCTGGAGAGCCACTGCCAGTCAGTGTAGACAACACTGAGCTAGCTAGACCACTGGCCTGACTCAGTATGAAGCAGTTTCTTAATGACAGTGTGGGCGACACTGAGCTACATGGACCACTGGACGGGCTTTGCCTAAGGCAGCTTCCTAGGTTCCTATGAGGATCACAACCAAGGGGCCCTAGGGGTCAGTGATGGGCCTTCTGAAGGAGTGCATACCTCAATAGGAACTCAGTAATGCCTGCTGGAAGTTTGGGTGCAACTCAGCTTGGACAAGAGGGATTGTGCATGGGTTAAGGCAGATAGAATTAGGGGCATCCAGATTCCTAGACTATCTTTGTACCTGTACTTTTAACCTCTTGAGCTGACCTCTGTATCTGATATTAGACTGATATGGTTGCATTCTTTTACAGCTTACTGCTCCTCTCACACTTTTCTCTTGGACCTTAATATGAGAGGTCAACTTGGAGCTAGTATGGCTGCCTTTGTTCTTGGCTAGTTAGGTTAGAAACTTTTCTATCCAACGTATGTATTTCCTACTATAAACTACTTCATTGTTTTCTTACTCTGCAAGCATATATCTGTGTGGGATTGCAACAAGTTGACTCTTTCGCTCAGTTGGTTAGAGTGTAGTGCTGATAATGCCAGAGTTACAGTTTTGATCCCTTTGGGGACTGGATCAGATGATCCTCAGTGTCCCTTCCAACTCAACAATACTATGATTCTACAATTCTTTAACCAAGATTCACTAGCAAAAATGCCTCTCACTCTGTATACGAAAGGGTTCCAACCGTTAACTGCACCCAGTTATCCCAATAATGCCTAGACAGAATGCTGCGCTGACACCAGCTCTGAAAGTTGCACAAGGACTCGGCCAATTCAGAACAGTGATGTGTGGTTGATGCATCTGATGGGGTGGCTTAAATTCCTCAAGGCACACAACATCCCCTCTCACAGCATGCAGTGTTGTTTTTGTGGGGAGTGGTCACCAAGATCAGCCCTTGGGATTAAAGATCTTTCAGCAGTAAAGCAGCAATGGCATGAAATTGCAGAAAGTCACCTGATGGGTGCAGACTCGTCCCCCTTGTCCAGCCAGTCTTGCGGTGGGATTATGTACATACACCAGAGTCCCCAGTTGTAGCCATGAGCTGCATTGGCGTATTGCTGCACTTCAAACGTGTTGTACTTTATGTTGTCAATAGCTGGAAGGATGATCCGTTTCCTGTCTTCTTTGATGCGGGTAAGTGCCGGCTCCACCCTGTAAACAAACAATATTTGTTCCTGTTTTTCTTTTTCTTTTTAAGAAGAGTATTTTGTTGAGAATAAATAGAACCGAAATTAATACTACCAATTCACCCCCATACAGAATATTGATGGCCACCAACTTGAAAGGCTTTACAAGAGGATTAGACAAATTCATGGAGCAAAAAGCTTATCAGTGGCTTTGTTCTTCCTCTACTTTTGGAGACACTATGCCTCAAAACACCTATTGCTGGGAATCACAAGTGGGGAGAGGGCAGCTGTGCTCAGAGCCTACTAGCTGGCTTCCCCTGGGCATCTGGTTGGCTGCTGTGGAACAAGATGCTGGACTAGATTATCCTTACCTTATCCAGCAGCTTCTTCTTATGTTCTCTTGAAGTCAACTATTATTTCTTTAAAAAATAAGTGAACAAATCAGTCTTGAATATATCCATGAGCAGGGCTGTTGGGCATGAGCAGGGAGCCTGTGGATATTCAGATGTTCATAGAATCATAGAATTGTAGAATTGGAAGGGGCCTTGAGGATCATGTTGGACACCAACTCATAAGAACATAGGAAGGACCTTCTATGATCAGGCCAATGACCCATCTAGTCCAGCATCCTGTTCTCACAGTGGCCAACCCGATGACTGTGGGAAATTCACAAGCAGAATATGAGTGCAAGAGCAGGCTCGCCTCCCAGCAACTGGGATTCAGAAGCACTACTGCCACCAACTCCCATCAGTCCCAAGCCTCATGGCCAGTGGTCAGATGATGGAGCTCAGCCATGTTGGAAGGACTACAGGTCCACCAACCCTGCTTTAGGACTTTGTAAGAATCTCAACCCATCCCACCACTGAGATTTGAAACAGCACCCCTGAACCCTTTCATTCATTTGCAGCGAGGTGCTGCATGGCCAACAAACATAGGGTGTATGGGGAGGGGCAGTAGGCTATGCATCCCATCATATCAAGAGCCAAGAGCCATCTAGATGTGGCTGGACTACAACTTCCAGCATCCTTGATCATCATGCTGGCTGGGGCTGGGGCCCACATCATCTGGAGGACCACAGGTTTCCCTTTCGTGCTCCAAGCCATGCTTGGATTGGGTCCTTCAGAAAGGTGGGCAAGGCAGCTTCCTATATGATATATAGAAGAGCCTCTGGTTTCTGGTGTATCAAGTCATTAGCTTAAGGAATGCACCTGTACTTATCCTCCAGCATTTCACAGAAGAAAACAGGATACATTCACCTTGCATCACTCCTGCCCTTGTAGGGAAGATCACTATCTGACCCTTCAGAACATAATGCATTGCTGAAGGCTCTGCTCTTGCCTGTCACTTGCTATCTTCACATACTCTGCAAATGCCTGCCCTCCCCTGGTCTGAAAAGCCAACATGGTGTTTATTCTTTTGGTTAAAGAATTCAGCAGGGAAAACTGCTACAACAAATTGTCTAAGAAGACATAACCAACAAAAGTAAATATACCAATATGTCCAATGAGTGAAATGGCAAGTGGTGCACTGCATACCAATTTAGTATTTACATCAAGGATGGGGCAGTTCTAGCCTGTGGGTCAAACTTGGCCTTCCATGCCTCCCCATTTTGCCTGCAAGAACAAAACCATGCTCACCTGTCCCACACCTGATGTACCGGTAATATGTGGTGTTAGGTGTGGGACACATATATTCATGGTGGCAGAAAGCAGGGTTGACCTCCCTGCGCATCAGTTAACACATGGTGGTGGGGACTGGCTGGTACACTCAAACTCTGCAGGAAGTAGGGCTGAACCCCCATTCATGAGCTAATATGCAGAAAGTTCAATCCTACTTGGTTCAGACATGCAAACCAGTCCCCATTCCTGAGCCCTGCAGAAAGCAAGATTGAACCTTAGTTCCTCAGCAGATGAGCAGGGAATTCAATCCTTCTTGATTTGGGCACATCAGCCAGCTCCTGCTCCTGCACCCTGAAAAAGCAGGATTGAACCCTTGTGTATCACCTGATATACAGTTTGTTGAATATTGATCAGGCAATGTCTCTCCTCACCACCACCAAGGGTCAACTTCAACAGGTGTTATAAAGGCAAGATGAACGCACCCAACCACCACCACTCAGAGATGTAACTTCCAGAGGACTGGGGATGCAGTTAAATGTTGCTGGATGGCAACTCTTAAAGAGAGGCACTGTGGAATAATGGTTAGAGAAGCAGACCAGATGTATCTCTGAATGTCAGTAGCTGAGAAACAGCAGCGGGAATGGACTGTTGTCCCTCTGTCCTTCTTGTGGGCTTCCCAGAGGCCAGTGAGGGAAACATGATGTTGGACTAGATAGGTTTTTGGTGTGAACCAGCAGGATCCTTCTTACATTCTTATCCAGGTTCAAATCCCCATTCATCCATGTAACTCACTGGACAATCTGAGGCTGGTCAAAATTGCTTAGCCTAACTTACTTTACAAGGATGTGGAGGGGGGTGGGGCGGACCATGTATGAACATCTTGGAGGAAGTGTGGAATATAATGGATGACAATTCCAGCAGCTTGTACTAACCATGTTTGAACAAGGCAAAAGCAAAAACATAGGAAAGCAATTTACCAGAGTCCAGTAATAGCAAAGAGGAATTGTCCCTAACAAATAGGAGCAGTCAGAGCACAAACATCTGCAGAAGCACATTGCTCAAATCAAAACACTCAAGGGCCAAACTGCTCCACCCCCACCATGGTATAGATAAGAGACATCTGTTCAATGCTCTCTCTTCTCTTCTCTCTCCATAGTGCATTAGTCAAAAGGTGCCAGTTTGTGGAATCTTAATCTTACTCCCATGGCCTAGAGAAGGAGACCTTCTTTTTAAATAACAACAACAACAACCAGCTTGTGCTATTTAGACAAGATTAAATTTATGAGAAAGCTGGTTTTTGGAGGATGACAGGGGATTCCAAGGAGAAGAGCTGGATATTCTCCAAGAAATCAAAACACAATTCAGCTAAGAGGCGCAATTTCTCCCTACTTCTCAAGCAGAAACGGCTTGTTGTGCTGCAGGCATCTGTGGGAGAGGCAAACTCTCTCTCTCTCTCTCTCACACACACACACACACACACACACACACACACACACTTACATGGCAATGCCACAACTGTCATTTCTCCTGGTTCTATCAGCAGGTTTTTGTGTCTCCATTAGTCAAGTAAGTGGGAATAATCCATGCAGACCTAAATAACAATTGCTGTCTGCAACACACACACACACACACACACACACACACACACACACACGTTGCTTTGTTTCGGCCTGCTATGTCAAGCATCTGAATACCAAGCAACAGATGTAGGCGTCATTAGTGACACACTGTTAATTTGTTTACCTGGCAGAGAAGGACTTGGCTGCTGTGATTCACTTGTTATTGAAGGGTGAAGTGGGGAGTCACCTTGGGGTATTTCATTGCCAAGTGACAACCACCTCAGGGAACAGCCCTCAGGGGGCTGTCACTGAAAGAAGAGGGGGTCTTTGTATTGCCATTGTAGCAATACAGATCAGAGAGTCTTGAAGGTAAATAGCATTGCATGCAATAAGTCATTGTGACAAGTGTCTTCTCTAGTGCGGACAACCCATTTAGGAGGGATGGCTACATCACAGATCGTAATACTGTGGGATAGAGGATAAATTGGTTCAGTTCACATTTTAAATCCAACTGATCTACTTAGACGGTCCTGAACTCAAATGCAGACCAGAACGCAGCTACCAGCTGGCTGATGTGCTTCTCTCTGAGTTTTGTGATGCAGTCTTGGTTTTGGAAAGCATACCCAAAAATTCATATTTAACAAGAAAAATGTATGTTTTATGGGGAAATGCATTTGAGAAGGACACAGAATGCATATTTTAGGGAGAGAATATGTACATAATGTGTGGTTTTTTTCAGTTAGCAAAAAATAATGATGGAATGGACCTACAATTAACCGTATGTGAAACTGATATGGAATGGAAAAGGGTTCATCAGTACATCCCAATAGCACTTCGTTGTTGTTTTTTTAAAAAAATCCCTGCTAGATATGAATACACATGGATGGTCAATATTGCAGGAACATAGGAAGCTTCCATATATCAAACCAGATCATTGGTCCATTGAGCTCAGTGTTGTTTACACTGGCTGGCAGTGACTACCCAGGGTTTCAGACAAAGGACATTTCAAGAGCTACCTGGAGATGCCAGGATTTGAACCTGGGACCTTCTGCATGAGCTGCTGCTCTACAGCTCAGACAAAGGCAGCCAGAACATCTCCCTTTGGCCTGTCCCTCACCTCTGTGATAGGAGGGCAGTCTAGACAATCATGGCAGAGACCTCCTGTGACAGTGCACACAGTCCAATGTCATTCATAGTAACTTCCTCCTGCCTATTTCTTCTGTTGTAAACTGCCCTGTGATCTTTGGGCAAAGGCTGTTTTATCAATTTAATAAACAACATCAATAGTATTAGGATGAGAGCTCCCGATATATGAACAGACTGTAAAATTATGAATGGCTGGAAAGCCTAGCTTACTCTCACAGTGTTGGGGATTCTTTGCTTGTCAGGCATTTGTGTCCTCTTTTGTAAAAATGTGATTAACATAAAGCAATACCCAGCGTGGAGCTCACTTGGGTACCATGAGAAATTAATGCAACACCCTTTCCTCAAAAGCAGTTGCGCCATGATGCCTGTTTCAAAAAGGAGATGCCTAAAATCTTTTATCAAAGGATCCCTTGCAGAGGCCTGGTGGAGCTGTCATGTTGGATACTGCCAAACCACCCCCATTTCCTTATTACAGCTGACTACGGCTCTCTAAGGCCGCTAGTTTGTCCTCCTCCTGCACATACTTTCCATAGCTCCATAGCAACTCCATAAATCATCTTGCTTGAGTTATGCAGCTTCCTGTACAAGAGAGATCAGATTTCCTTATGGGAGAACAATGATGATATCAGTAGGGCTAGTTACAGATAGGTAGCCGTGTTGGTCTGCCATAGTCAAAACAAAAAAAATTCCTTCCAGTAGCACCTTAAAGACCAACTAAGTTAGTTCTTGGTATGAGCTTTCGTGTGCATGCACACTTCTTCAGATACAGTATCTGAAGATGTGTATCTGAAGAAGTGTGCATGCACACGAAAGCTCATACCAAGAACTAACTTAGTTGGTCTTTAAGGTGCTACTGGAAGGAATTTTTTTTGTTTTGATCAGTAGGGCTGTTTATGCTTTAGCAGTCCTTCTGAAGTGGGGAGTGGGGGCGGGTGGCGACGATCAGGGAATCGTGCCCACTTCCAAATAAAGTCTCAACAATGTGGTGTGAGTGTCCTCCCAGCACTGTCCCCAGATAGCTATGGAATTCAGCAATGAGAGGATGACATAAGGGTTAGGGTGCTGGACTAGGACCTGGGAGATCAGTGTTTACGTCCCCACTCAGCCATGGAGCTTGATGGGTGAACTTGGGCCAGTCTGAGGACCGGACAAGCTTGGAAGACACCATTCAGTCTCCAGGTGTGAGGTTCCCCACCCCTCCATTAGAACATCAATTATCACACTGGACACCAAGTACTTCTGGTTTCAAACTAAAGAGCTAAACCATTCCCAATGATGAGCTGTGTTTGAAAACTTCCATTCCCACTTTCTCGGAAGTCTGAACTGTGAAATTTCACAGATACAGAAATGGCAAGCGAAGATTCCCCCGGGTTTGTGAAAGAATGAGATCATGTCACCACTTTTATTTTCCATCTGGATAGAATACTAAAATGGAAGCACACGGGAAACGATGACACAATCAAAGCCTTTGAGGAGGGGAGCAGCACCTGTGCCATGCCAAAGTCAGCTGTTCTGCCATGACCCCACAGGGTACAAATATACATGGAAGATGCTTTTATAAGAAAGAAATATCAGAGGTCTTCCAGAGAATTCCAGAGAAACCATTGGAGAATTTATCCCCACTCCCTGGGAAATTTGGTTTCCCTGCATGCAAATAAAGTGGAGAATTTGAAGAGGCCACATGTAACGTGATTTCCAGCTGATGCTCAAAGCACTAGAAATCTCTGACTCAAGGCCAGTTCCAATGCTCTCTCCACGTGGAGGAGAAGTAAGGAGGGGTCTCCAGCAGCAATTTACCCTGAAGCTAAGTTCCTTGACAGCATAGGAAGCAGAATTCCCTATCCTTATCCTGCTGGGTGAAGCAGGGGAGCGGTCCAATCAAGCCCAGAAAGCCCTATGAAGAACTATTACATAGGACACTGGACCAGTAGAGGAGCTGTCCAACAGCTTCAGCAACATGAAGTCCAAGCTCCAAGTGCTGAAGCAGTCAAGGGGGAAGGTAGACCTAGGAGCTGGTCAATGGAGCCGATGCATCAGCAGCTTCCAGGAAGCAAAGAAAGGTTTATGTCATTAATGGAGAACCTTTTACCTGTTTAACTCCAACTCCCATCAGTCCCAGCCAGCATGGCCAGTCCTTCGGGTGGACAGGAATTATGGTCCAATGACATCCATAGGCAAAAAGTTAATGCAATTAGCTGGGTTCTCTCATTCTTCCTGGCACTGTGGGAACCAAATCTAGTGGTGATTGGTAGGGGGTCCAGAGTTTGGTTGGGGCACATTATTGTTAGAAAATGCCCTGGGGTGCCCCTGCAAGCCCCTGAAACTCCAAGCGTCTTCTGATGAGCATAACTTTGGAGAGGCATTCCCCCTTGTCTCCAGGGTGCTCCATGCCCAAGCTTCCTTGGAAAATGCAACTATTTTGCAGGCTATCTGACCTCTCAGGGTGATTGTGAGAATGAAATAGGAGAGAATCATGTATTCCGCCTTGAGCTACATAGAAAAGTTGGATATAAATGCAGGTAGTAATCAGTAATATCATGGTCTCAGGGCTCCTTTCAAAGTGTCCTATCTCCTCATCCTGATCCATGCTCAGACTCACAGCAGAATCACATCTAATTCTTTATCACATCAGGACCAAGGAACAAGCTAGAACTTGGGACAAAACCATTACTGAGAGTGCAGGAACACAACAGAGCCTGAGAAGTCCTTTTGCAAGGCTCAATCTGACCAGGAAGCATTATGATACTCCTTTCTGTGCCAAAGGATCCAATGGCCAGCCTGTGTGGGTGGAGACAATCAGTCCAGGACCTGAAGGCAGTCAACAAGGGAAGCTGCCACCTGCAATTCAGAGCTTCACCACATGGGGCACCCACACAAAGGCTGAGCCGCTCTTGACATCAGGGGGCCATGCAGAGGTAGTGAGGGCTGGCTGATCACAAGAAAACTTGTGGCAGGTAGCATTTAATTAAACAATAGAAACAAAACTTTGGGCCAAAAGTTAGGAATTTCCTTGGCAATTATTGATTTGTGACAAATCCCAAGTATCTCTGGACTGTTGGGACACATGTCTTTGGTCTGACCCAGCACAACATCTCTTATGCTCTGAATATTTTCAATCTCATTTCCCTCATTGAGTAACTTAAGTAGGGGATTGCTCAGGCTAAGAGAGACACCATTAAGCCTCATTCTCCTACATTCCATTATTAGCCTAATGGCCCAAAATCTTTTGATTGAAAATTAATTCTCTGGAGGAATCTGGACAACAGTGTTTGAAATGGCAGTATTTTTTTTTTTTGCTGGTGAATTGGTTGGGGTGTTAGGGCCTCCCCAGCCTCATAATGACTATTTCTGGGTATTCAACCAGTTAGATTCTTTTCAACTTCATTGGCGCTCCCTGCAGGGACATTAATGTGACTTGAAGTAAATGGTTGGTTGGAGGCACACTGAAGCTTACCTCCTTCAGATTCCAAAGCTAAATACTCTTGTCTACTCATTTTGTCTTATCTATCTGTCTTTTAAGGATTAGTGGGCTTGCCCCCCCCCATCACCATTCCAGTGTCATTCCCAGGTTTGCTCTCCCATCTCTCCCAGTTTAACTTGGTGAATGTCTCAATTTGATTCCAGACTTCCTCAACCCAGGATTAGAACTCCCATCATCCCTGATCATTGGCCATGCTGGCTTGGGCTGATGGGGAGGAGTTTTGAGTAGCCAAAACATCTGGAGGGCACTAGGTCAGGGAAATAAGCAGCAGCCCCTTTCATGCATTCCTCTATGCACAGGTTTAATACCAGGGAGAAGCATTCATAGAATTGCAGAGCTGGAAGGGAACCTAAGGATCATCTAGTCCCCAGCAATGCAGGAATATGCAGTTGTCACATACTGTGGAACCTTGGTACTCGAACGGCTTGGCTTCTGAACAAATCGGCTCCTGAACCCAGAAGTAAGTGTTCCAGTTTGCAAGCATTTTTCAGAAGCCGAATGTCCAACGCGGCTTCCGCTTGAGTGCAGGAAGCTCTTGCAGCCAATCAGAAGCCACGCCTTAGTTTTTTAATGGTTTTAGGAGTTGAATGGACTCCCAGAATGGAATAAGTTTGAGAACCAAGGTACCACTGTATGGGGATCGAACCTGCAACCTTGACATTGTTAGCACCACATCTAACCAACTGAGCTATCAGAAGCAGGACTATGTCAACTGGCTGCACCTCCTGATGTGCACAAGAGCCCTCTCTCCTCCTGTTATTTCTTGCTACTGGTAATTAAAAGCATTGTGGTGGCACAACATAGCCATTGTGGCTAGTTGCAGAGTGACCCAGGCTGTGTTGGGTTAAACCAACAGGAAGGAAGGAAGGAAGGAAGGAAGGAAGGAAGGAAGGAAGGAAGGAAGGAAGGAAGGAAGGAAGGAAACTTGGGACTCTGTGGAATGTGCAGTTCAAGCCTAAGTTTCAGTAACTGGAATGAAGTTGTCATGAGACAGAGTTTTAGCAGTCTGCAGACAGCATTTCAAACTCCACCACCATCGCAGGCATGGTAATAAAAGTGTCTCAGCAAGTTCTCAAGGTCTTTTATCGATTGCCAGTTAAAGCAGCCGTCCTTTTAGCTTTTTACCAATTGCCCGATTCAAGCATCCATTCTATCACAAAGCACAACCTTGAAGCTTACACCTGAGATACATTAACTGTTAATATTTAATACTTAAATTAGCTAGCCTACAATCCTTGTCCTAGATGAGTGAAGGACGAATGCGTTGCCACTGGTGGGTTAAGAGAGAATTCTCTTTCTCTGATAACCTTTCCTATGACTCAGCTACATTAGTAAAAAAAACACAGCACTTCGAATACAGAATACAGGCTTCAGATTTTTCTCAGTTTCCATGGCTTAGCATCCCCGCCCCAACTTGTCCATTATGCCATCTCCCCTGCCCATGTCCTACCTATCATAGACCTTACCAGCCGGTGTTGAACTCGACGTGAGCATCAAAAAACCCAACCACTGGTGATGTTGCTGCCTTCCAACCTTGGATTCTGGCTCGGATCAGCCCTTCTCGTTTGTTATTACGAACTATTTTCACCAGCCCTGGGTATCTCTTGTGGACATACTGGTCCAAATTAAACTTCAGCTCAACTGTAAAAACAAAGAGAGAAGGAGATTTGGGAGTTGAGAAGCACATTCTGTTTTATTTCAACAGAATCTCATTTAACTCGGAGTAAACATTTCTGAAGCTGAAGGCTCTGATACTTTGGCCACCTCATGAGAAGAGAAGACTCCCTGGAAAAGCCCCTGATGTTGGGTAAGATTGAGGGCACAAGGAGAAGGGGATGACAGAGGACGAGATGGTTGGACAGTGTTCTCAAAGCTACCAGCATGAGTTTGACCAAACTGCGGGAGGCAGTGGAAGACAGGAGTGCCTGGCGTGCTCTGGTCCATGGGGTCACAAAGAGTCGGACACGACTAAACGACTAAACAACAACAACAACAACAGCAACAAACATTTCTGAAGACCTGAATGAGGACAATTCAATCATGCCAAATTACGCAGTATTTAGCCCCTTCTGTCTGCCCCACCATTTAAAAATTATTTCAAAAACAGAGGGTAGTATTCAATGATTGTGCTACCTGGAGTAGACACATTGAAATTAATGGACTTGATTCACTTAAGTTCATTAATTTCAGTGGGTCTATTCTGAATATGATTTAGTTGGATAGTGTAACATATTGGGGTTACTCAATTTTATTGTGCATTTCCTATGTTAGGTAGCCCAAAATGAAATGGATTGGGCCATTTGAATATTATTATTATTAATTATTATTGGTATTACTATTCCAAATCATGAGATATAATGAGTTTCTGTGCATTAAATTGTAATAAGTTGTCACACTGACCAAAGCTTAAGAAAGATTCACTTGGAAAGAGCCATAACTCAGTGGTAGGACATCTGACTTAGAATACAGAAGGTCGCATGTTCAATTCCCAGCATTTCCAGGTAGGGCTGGGAAAGACCCCTGCCGGAAACTGGTCGGTATAGTCATTATTGAACTAGATAGACCAGTGGTCTGACTCAGTGCAAGGCCATTTCCTATGTTTCTAAACTTAAAGTGCACCCCACAGTACATATACATATTGCACCCCAAGATTGGATCACAAGTTCTCCTTCAACAGAAACAATACCTCTATATCTTCATTCTTTTTGGTGTCCATACCTGCCGCCTCCATTGAAGCAGAACAAGCACAAGTTTAGCACTAATTTTCGTGTTATTTGCAATTGGATTCTTTTTTTTCCCCTGGAAGCAAATGACACAGAAATCAGGACTAAACTTCTGCTGTATTTCTCTTTTATGTCATGTGAAAGCACAAATATAATTAGGAACTTGACAGTTAGGGCAACGTTGGGGAGAACAGGATCAGTTGTGGTGCGAATGCAGTGCAGAACCCATATGTTTGCAGGGAAAGGGCCACAGCTCTGTGGCACATGGAAAGCTGTCATTGGTCCATCTAGTCCAGTGTTGTTTACACGGTCTGGCAGCAGTTCTCAAGGGTTTCAGACAAGAGTTTAGTCTTGCCTGAAGATACCAGAATTTGAACGTGGGACTTTTTGTATACAATCTGCCACTAAGCTGTGGCATTGCACAGCACACAATTAGCACATTATTTCCCCATAGTGGGAAAACAAGCTGCTCATAAGTACATATGAATCATTTTTCCTCAACAGCTTTTCCCCCATTATGGACAATCCAAACAGGCATATTTGTAAGAAACAGAAAACAAACAAACACAAACAAACAAACAAACAAACAAACAAACAAACAGGTGTTTTGAATATTCACCATTGTCACTGTTGTCATCCACCAAGATAATCTCCTTGAGCAAGTGGGATGGGGTGTGATTCACAACACTGTGTACTGAGCGCAAGATGACAGATAGAGCCTCATTTACAAAAATAAAGACCACCGAGATCTGGGGCAGGTCATCGGGATAGGACATCTGTTTGCACCTGGAGAGAATAAAAATGAAGACTAAGATGTACTGAGCATTTAAAAAACAACAACAAAAACCACACCTTAGCTTTCATTAAGCTTTTCTTCATTTAAATGGAGGGACCCAATTTTATTTATTTATAAAAACATTTGCATACTGTTATGTCATAAAAATAATATCAAAGTGGTTTACACCATGGGTCGGCAAACTAAGGTCTGCGGGCCAGATCAGGCCCAATTGCTTTCTGGATCTGGCCTGCAGACAGTCCGGGAATCACCATGTGGATCACCAGTGTGCACGTTCTTCCCCTCTCCGTCCCTCTCCCTCACACGGCAGTGGTGGCCCCTCCTCCCTCCCTCCTTCTGTCTTGTCCCCACCCTGCCTAGAGGAAGAAGGGGGCTGGGCTTTGGCTTTGTTGGTGCCAGCAGCAGCGCTCGAGCGGCCATCATTTTAAGCAGCCCCTCTCTAGAGCCCTTTCGCATGCCGCTCATCATCCCTCCGCCACTGCTGCCAGCCCCTGCCACTCGCAAGACACAGGTAAGCAGCCACAGGGGCTCGTGTTGCTCTTGCATCATTTTTCTTCTTCTTCAAAATATAGTCCAGCCCCCCACAAGGTCTGAGGGACAGTGGTCCGCCCCCCCCGCCCCCCGCTGAAAATGTTTGCTGACCCCTGGTTTACACCAACGGAATATAAAAATGTACAATAAAAACAGTTACAGAAAGTTAAGAGCAGACATCTATTAACCACTGTGGAAGGGTGCATTCTTAATTGTCTGCATGGCCCTGGCAGAATAGAGACGTATTCAGCAGCCATTTAAACTGTACGGGGAGCAACCCTACTAGAAAAGCTAACCAGCAAACTGAAATTAGCACAGAGACAAATGGAAGAGGATGTCTTCACCCTGGTGTGGCTCCCCTTTATTCCATATGCATTCCAACAAGACCATGACCTAACTCCCCCAACATACATACGAATTGACCCAATAACCACCCCCAAGCAAAACTCACTGCAATCAACTGAACGCAACCAACCATGCTCTGGGCTCTCCATCCTCTCGCACCACCAACATTAATGAATAAATAAATTAATAAAGAAAGAAAGAACCTCTGCACATACACTATGCCAAATAATAAAATATCATCATCTCCCCCTTCTCTCTCCCTACAGTGTCTCACACTGAATGTAACTGACCTATAGAAAGGACTCTGTGAATTGAAAACAGAGACATTATATGTACCTTTGTTACGCATGAAAATATTTCAATAAAAACATTTTTATTAAAAAAGTTGGCACAGAAGGCACCTGCTGAATGTCTATTGGCAGAGTATTGCATAGGACCGGGTTGTTGAGACTATAGACACAGTTTTTTATTGTTGTCAATAAGAGCCTCACCAAGTTGGAGAACAACTAGCAATGCTCCTGCAGATTATTTTAGTGATCAATCTGAAATTTAAGGGTTTAAGGAGCACCTGAGGGACCCTGGACATAGTTGTTCAGGGCTTTGTAATTTTTTGGAAATGGTTCACCCATATGCACTGGTCACTTATCTCCCCTCCATTTGTGTGTATAGGATCACCCAGGGATGCTTCTTTTTCTGGGTGATGGGGGGCTAGTCTGTGGCCTCCTAGGTATTAGGGACATGGGTGACACTGTGGTCTAAACCACTGAGCCTCTTGGGCTTGCCAATCAGAAGGTCGGCGGTTCAAATCCCCGCAACGGGGTGAGGTCCCATTGCTCTGTCCCAGCTCCTGTCAACCTAGCCGTGCACGCCAGTGCAAGTAGATAAATAGGTACCGCTGTGGCGGGAAGGTAAAAGGCATTTCCGTGTGCTCTGGTTTCCGTCACGGTGTTCCATTGCGCCAGAAGTGGTTTAGTCATGCTAGTCACATGACCGGGAAAGCTGTCTGTGGACAAACACCGGCTCCTTCGGCCTGAAGTGAGATGAGCGCCGCAACCCCATTGTCGCCTTTGACTAGACTTAACTGTCCAGGCATCCTTTACCTTTAACTTTACTCCAAGATGTTACTCAACAGTGAACAACTGAAATATCATCTCACTCCTTATGCACCCAATTGACCACTGCGCTCTGCAGGCAAGGACCTCCTACATCTTATCAGGAAGTCAGTTCCTCACAATACAGAAATTGGGTCATTGCTGTGGTGGAATTCCCTCCCATTAAATATTAGGCAGGTGCCATCTCACTTGTCTTTTTGGTGCCTAATTTAGAGACTTTTCCTGTTCAACAAATGGAGTTCTCTCTCAGTTTGCATCTGTATTTGAATTGTTTAAAATATTTTTTAATAGTTTTAATTTAATTTAATTGGCTGCCTCCTTTGAGAGGTAGAGTGGGATATAGATTTAATTATTTAATTAATTAATAAGTCCCATAAGCTCCAGCCAGCATGGGCAATAGCCAGGGATGATGGGAGCTATAGTATGAAACTACCTGGAGAGCAACAGGTTAGGCCCCCCATCCTATTTGAACCAGGATATGCATTTTTTCCCATCCACTACAATTGTGATAGTGGCTGAGTATTACTCTGGGCACTGTCTAAACATTTTTGGATATTCAAACCATGCAGGAACCTGAGAATTAACCCCAGCTGCCGCAGGTATCAACCCACAGTTCAGTCTTCTGCAGAGCACCTTGCAATGAAAGTGAAATGCCAACTCTCTCCTTTGCATAGAAATTAATGTTAAAAATAACCAACATGCTCTCACAGGCAGATCCAGGGTCCAATTACCATAGCAATTACGAGGCCTGTTCTCTAAAATACAGCTAATGATACCACAGGAAATGACTTTCCTTGCTCTTGTCAAACTCGATGACCTCCTGGCTCATCACTTCACCGTAATGATCATACTTTTTTTAACCGTTAGCCATTTATCTCTGGGGGGTGGGGGTGATAGATCGTGCCTGGGTACCAGATAACCCCTGGTGATACATGATGGAGAGGGGGAAAGTGCTGGAGCAATCCATTTTCTGGCCCAGTCCGAGCTGTATTGTATCAAAAGGTTGGTGGAAGCTATCACCCACCCCAATGTCCTTGTGACAATTTAAAGTCCTGTGGACAACCTACCTCTCATTGGGGCAGCACATTAGGGCAAATGGGGCAATGCCCCATCAACATCAGTCTGCCCTCAGCCAGTCCCTCTTGCCTGCCTTCTTACTTACAACTCGACCGGGGAGTGTGCATATGTCAGCTTCCTCCTCTGTAGAACTCAACAGGGTTCTTCAATGAAGAAGAAGAAGAAGAAGAGGAGGAGGAGGAGGAGGAGGAGGAGGAGGAGGAGGAGGAGGAGTTTGGATTTGATATCCCGCTTTATCACTACCCGAAGGAGTCTCAAAGCGGCTAACATTCTCCTTTCCCTTCCTCCCCCACAACAAACACTCTGTGAGGTGAGTGGGGCTGAGAGACTTCAAAGAAGTGTGACTAGCCCAAGGTCATCCAGCAGCTGCATGTGGAGGAGCGGAGACCTGAACCCGGTTCCCCAGATTACGAGTCCACTGCTCTTAACGACTACACCACACTGGCTCTCTAGAAGTTGTTGGCTCCACCTAACATTGGCTCTGGGGCCACCTACTATTGGCGTCCCCACCTTCCACCTTACCAGTCCCAATGGGCTACTGCTGGTTATGTACTAAAAAGGTCCACTGCGCATTATTAGCCTGCTAAAATACATTCCAGTGCTTTATAAAAAATAAACCTTGATGAGAGTGGGAGTGAGGGCAGAATTAGGAATGGTTCCTAAACACTATTCACTGTGTGTTTGATGTGATTTGTGAGTCACCTACTGCAATCATACCTCTCAGCAACTTACAGTTTAAAATAATGAGCAACACACACACACACACACACACACACACACACACGGTAGCCCAAAAGTAGGTGTGCTGCTTTAGAATCCACTTTGTTTGTTCTTGACTCAAATTCTGATCATTCAAAATATCAGAAACGAAAAACAATCATGTATGTATGTATGTACAGTGGTACCTCCGGTTAAGAACTTAATTCGTTCTGGAGGTCCGTTCTTAACCTGAAACCGTTCTTAACCTGAGGTACCACTTTAGCTAATGGGGCCTCCCGCTGCCGCCACGCGATTTCTGTTCTCATCCTGAAGCAAAGTTCTTAACCCGAGGTACCACTGTATGTATGTATGGAAAGTATATCTACTTTTGGGCCACCCTGTATAAGCGCTGCATTTAAACAAGGTTTATTCAGAGTAAAGACACTAAAATTAATGGGCCTAAGTTAGTTCCCTGTCAATTTCAACGATTATACTCCGAGTACAACGAAGGTTGAATGTAATCCATTATATAATAAAAAATACATAATATCAACAAAGAAGAAGAGGAGGAGGAGCCATCTGGATCAGGCCAATGGCCCATATAGTTTAGCATCCTGTTCTCACAGTGACCAACAAGATGCATTTGGGAAGCCCACAAGCAGGATTCAAGCACAAGAGCACTCTCCCCTCTCACTGGATTCCAGCAATTGATACCCAGCAACTGATATTCAGTATTTCCTAAGATCCAGGGCAAAAAGCGCCGCCTTTCAGAAATTTCCCCCAAACATCAATTCTGCCTTTGAAATCCTAAACATATGGCAGCCATTGAGTAAACATGCTTAGGATTGCACTGTTTAACTTTAGCACTGTTCAGATACCGAAATGTTCAACCTGTTGAAGGCTCATGTGTACTAACCTCACCCCAATATATTCTTGCAACCATCTTTGGCCTTCCCGCATTCAGCAGGAAGGTTGGGTCAGGGGATTCTACTGGAGAAGGAGCTCAGTGGTAGAGCATCTTGCTTTGTGTGCAGAAGGTCCCAGGTTCACTCCCTGGCATCTTCAGGTAGGATGGGGAGAGAACTCTGTCTGAAATTCTGGAGAGCTGAAGTCAGTCAGTGTGGACAATGCTGAGCTAAGTGGACCAACGGTCTGACTCTATATAAGGCAGTTTCCTCTGCATATTTAGTTGAAGCTTCCTGAGTCTTAGGAACCCTGAATGATCA